TGTGTGTGTGTGTGTGTGTGTGTGTGTGTGTGTGTGTGTGTGTGTGTATTTGTATGTATGTGTGTGTATGTGTGTTTGCGCATGCTCTTGTGTGTATAGTGGATCAAAGCCTATGCCACCACACCTGGCTACTAGTTGCTGTTTTATCAGGGGTAGAAAGGGATATGCTAATCATTTCTATTAGGAATTCATTGTAGGTTTTTTATTTTCTTAGAGTGCTTTGACTTAATTTTACTTTGGTTAATGAGATTTTCCTAAATTTTGCTGTAGCATCAGCAGTGTTGGCTAAGTGTTTCGTTAGTTGCAGGTCTAGTGACTTTGAGGGACAGAGGCAACAAGTGATGGGTGTCTGAGAGACTGTGGACCCAGGCTGTGCAGCCCTTCCTTGGGGTTCCTCGGCATTGGTATAGATGCTTTGCTTCTCACTGTTACTGTGTCCTTAATAATACCTTACTGAATGTATGTATTTTAGAAGTTTTAGAAAATGTTTTAAGTTGCTTTTTAAAAAGTCATGTATGATCACATAAGGGATATTTTATTATTATTTTGATAACTCTTCAATTATTTTTAATAATTTGTGCTGGGTATTGTCTGAAGGCCCTGCACGTGTCTGACTGCTTAGCTATACCCTAAGCTCCAACTTGTTTTTAACTTTTATGACATGGCAGCTCTTAGTATCTTTTGTGTGCATGTTCTTTCTCACTTTGATCTTATACCCTGGGGAACTTGGTTCAAAGAGAACAAGAGCTCCTTGGACAGACATAGGACTATCTGCTCATGGACTTTGTTCATAGAGGAGGTGGTGTTTCAGCTGAACTCGGGGAAGCGTGCTCAGCAGGAGTCAGGTGGGCAGTACGTGGACACAGGACACATGCAGAGGAAGCACATGGGCTCCATGGGTCATGCCAGGGATAGAAAGGCAGTCACTACGAACTGCCCCGGACAGACTGTAAGGTTCTTGAATACCTTATTAAGCGGTTAAACTCCTAAGTGGGCAGAAGCATCTTTCAGGATAAGCAAGTAGAGGCCAGATTTGTAAGATTGTCTGAATATTATTAAAGTTTAGAGTTAACTAAACAGTATTGTTGCCTGTGGTTCTTACAGAGCTTAGCATTTGATCAGTTATATTCCACTACAATCTTATAATATCCGTTGAGAACGAAAGTTATTATAGTTGAGTTAAATTCACACAAATAAATTAAAAGCCACTGTTATTTCTCAGTCCTCAGTAATTAGAATGCAAGGCTTTTAGGGCATTGCCTTGAGGTGACTGAAGCAGGATGAATAGATATTATTAAAATGAAAAAGAACAAATTTGCTTTTTGTTTGTTTTGAGTGCAGGAGGTTGATTGAACGTAGGCCCTCTCAGATGTTAAACACACACTGTCACTAAGCTGCACTCCCAGACTTCAGTAACCACTCTACCACTGAGCTGCACCCCCAGACTGGAGCAGACTGGCGGGACTGACTGTTATTTTAAAGTAAAAATGTGCACAGATTGAGCGGTCAGTAAGCAAGATGAAGTGGATGCCAGCTCTGTCAGACATAGAGGCACACACAGAGTCCAGCACTGGCTCATTTATTTTGTCAGCGTGTTTTCCTGCTGGGCTACAGACTCCCCCGGGATCTGCTGCACAGCTGCTGAAGGGTGTCAGTTGATTTCTGGTTTTGAAGTAGCAGAGACATACAGAATATTGGCCTACAGAATGACAGACACACTCAGCCGTACTGTCTGTCAATTCATAGGTCATTTTCCTGTACACCAGCTCCTGATAAGAACGCTCATTGTCTTCCATGCGTGGGTCCTTCTGGCGACCTAGCACTTGGATTCTAAAACATTTACAGTCTTAATTATTTGTTAGTTAGAAAACAGAAAGAAGGTCATCCTTTTTATTTTTGAATCAAATGAGAATCAAGTACCCAGAAATGTCTGTCCTCCCTTTCCCACCTCTGTAGCAGGTTGGAGGCCATCAAGAGTAACAGCATCTCCACTGGAAGTCAGGGCACAGTCCACATGGAGTTGCTGTTACATGTGATGGCTCCATATGTTTGCTGGAGGATTCCTTTTGCTTTATGTAGTCACTCAGCATGCATGCTTCTGAGGATTGAACCTGGAGTTTGCTGCATGGCAGGCAAGCGCACTACAGTAGACTGCCAAGCTAGCCTCAGTCCTTTGCCTCCTCCTGATGTGAGTGTAGGTGGGGAGTGGTGGCGGGAGATTTGGGACAAGGCCTAGCCTGTACCTTGCAATCCTGCCTCAGGTTCCTGGGAGCTGGCATTCCGGGTGAGCGCCACCATGCCTGGTTCTGCCTCCGTGACGAAAGTCTGCAGGTTGCCCTAAACATAAAGACTGACAGATTTCAAACTCTTGCAGTTTATGTTTGCTGCTTTTTCTCAAGAATAGCTCTACTTTATGTTAATATGACTGGTCATTTCCTGAATCTGTAACATAATCCCCGTAGAGTTTAGGTGGAAGTCTGGTCCCTGGTTAGTAAAAACAAGTATTTTTTAACCTAAAAGGGATAAAATTTAGAAACGTTGCCACCTAGAGAAGACAGAAAGCTGTTGATGAAGCTTCTTTCCATATTTCAGATGTGCTGTCATCCAGCACTGTTGTCTGAAGCGTGTAGGGAACTTAGAGCCGAGTCTGGAAACCTGTTGACTTCATGTTCACTAGGAAAGAAGCATCCTAATTGCTTCCTGCTGCCTTTACAGCCTGAGTACAGGACTGAATAGAGACTAGGCTCTCCTGAAGCTCTACTGCACTCTTAGACACATTAGTAAACAGACAGGGACACTTAGCCTCTTACCTCCTTCTCATTCCAGTAACTTCCAGCCGAGATCTTGTCTTTTCCCTTGTGCTTACAAAGAGAAAACAGAAAAGAGTGAGGTGACAGCAGCGGGCTCTCTTTACCTGGAAGTCCTGAGTGCTCTCTGCTTCCCAGCTAAATAGCCCCATGTTGCTGATAGCAGAGCTTGGATGATTGGCTGCTGTCTGCTGCTCACACGGCCTGGGTTTTCCCTGATGGAAACTGAAGCAGGAACACATGCTGCGTGATAGATAAGGCCTTTAAGTGGAGTACAAAGTTCTGTTATGGTCACTTACTGCTCTATATACAATATTAAGGTGGAGACAGACTACATAGTGATAAGTGGCTTCACCCACTTTTATCAGCGGTAATTTATACTGATCTTAGGTCGTAAGTCAACCGTGGTGAAGTAAAGGATGCTATTAATAAAAAAGGAGAATTCTTGAATTTGCAAAATCAAACCTAGATCCCACACTGAAAAAAAATCACAGGGAAATTCTTGGTGTGTGTGTGTTTTGAGACAAGTTTTTTTCTGTGTAACAGAGCCCTGGATTCACTTTGTAGACCAGGCTGGCCTCCAACTCGAAGAGATCTGCCTGCTTCTGCCTCCCACATGCCAGAATTAAAGGCATGCACTACCACACCTGGCTCACAGGGAAATTCTTAAATTCTTCTAAAATATTTGAAAGTATGATCTCAGTTTCATTATAAAAAATTCCACTTGTAAGTATTTATCGTAAGGAAAAAGGCTAATGAATTCTGTATAAAGAATGCATGTAAGATGCCCAATTTAGCTGTTCGTCAAGGAGCGTAATGATATACAAAAGGAGATCGGACAAGGGAGAGGCAAATGGAGAGCACTTGCCTGCGTAAAGCCATGCGTTCAAATCCCAGCACCGCACACACACAGATGTAGTTTAACCGACTGAGGAAGGAGTGATCACACAGACACTTAGGCTTTAACTTTGCTCTTAGTGGCTCCTGAGGCTCCAAATTGGGAAAACCTAGTGACCAGAACCTGTCCAGCATTTGGCTGTTTCTCCGTGGTTGCATTTTTGTTGTTTTGTTTTTGTTTGGTTTTGTTGTGGTAGGAAGTCATTCCTCTACTACGGGCTGCATTCCCACCTGGGTCTTACTGAGACAAGAGTGTGTAGCTCGGCTCTCTACAGCCTTGGTGACCCTCCAGTTTGTCTCTTGAGTGCTGGATGCTGGTCCATGCCACGTGCAGGCCACAGGAGGAAGTGTCTCCCCGTGACAGCAGTTTTGTGCACCTGGGCTTCAGTGTGTTCCATGGGAAGGCTTTTGTTAATCTACTTAAAAAAAGTTTTTTTTTTTTTTTTTTTTATTTTAAAATTCAATTAGTCACCTTTTTTTTTAAACTAACAAAATTGTATAAAGTTGGTGTATACATCATGGCCTCTCAAAAAACATAGATATGTTGCATTAGTGTGTATTTGGTTTCCTTTATTCTCTAGTTCTAGAGTTGGGGCTTAGCAAAGCACAGTGGGTGTTTCTCAGCATGTGCTGTGAGAGGCCCGTGCTATCACAGCTTCTTTGGGTACATTTGAAAACTTTTTTTTTCTTTCTGTCTTTTTTTTTTGGAAGTTTTTCTTTGCTTCAGATTCCTAAAAACATGGGATAAAGAACAAAGTGGGCTGTTTTCTTGGTTAATTTGTTATAGTTTAATTTGGTGAATTTTGGAAACAAGTATGTCACCCATGTGTGTATGTATGTATGTGTGTATGTATATGTGCTCCTAGGCCATGCTGATGCTACACCAGTGTTCCCCCACTGATCTACACCTTGACTGTGTTTTGTTTGCTACATGGTCAGGCCTGTCATGTTGCCCTTGAAGTCAATCCTGCTGCCTCCTCTTGAATTGCTGAGGTGACAGATGCACACCACCATGCCCTGCTTGAAGCCGAAGTTGTTGTTTGTTTTGTTTTTTTTTGAGACAGGGTTTCTCTGTAGCACTGGCTGTTCTGGAACTTACTCTGTGGCCCAGGCTGGCCTCGAACTCAGGGATCTGCCTGCCTCTGCCTCCCAAGTGTTGTGGTTAAAGATGTGTACCATCACCCTTGTCTTTGAAGCTGGATTTTAAAAAATTATTGCATTGTTTTTCATTGGTGGCGATTATATTTGTAGTTCTGCCATTTGTAAAAAAAAAAAAAAATTACTAAAGTAAAAGAAAAGTAAAAGCAAACAACATATCTTTCTCACTGATTACCAGACCCTAGAAGTCTAAAATAAGGATTTCATGACCTTCAAATCAACTGTGTAAAACGCGCAGTTGCTTAGCACTTGGGTGGCTGAGGAGGCCTGATCTGTAGGTGACACTGCAGAAACGAGAGGAGATGGCGGGGAGGGGCCACTGGAAAACAGATTAAGTAGAGCATGATCCTATTTCTTCTTCTGTTAGAACATTGCTATGTATGTTTGTGAATTATTAATATTTTTAAGGAAATGCTGCTGTTAACAGGAACTTTATTCAGGTGTCTAAGGTGTTTAAACTCAGGATTTCATAGTTAACTTAATAACATGCAGATAGCAAATTTAACATCTTCCTTTGATTTATAGACTTAGCAAGGTACTTAAGTGTAGCTAAATATACACCCAACTTACAATTTTAAAGTGCTGTTGAGTTACCTGATAATTTAAAGATAAGAAGAGTTCATTGAAATGGAATTTCTGTGTGAGATGATGTGCACGACATCATGTAAGGCTCCTGACTTTTCTTTAGGTATTAAGACTTTTTAACAATAAACAAGGTTCTACTCTTTTTTTAAATAGCTTTTCTCAGTTTTCATAGAAACTGAAGCTCTGAAAAATCCCACCTTTTACTCTTGCTACTAGCTGATAAGCCAGATAGAGTGTGGTCTTTGAACCCTGTGCTTGCTGTGTCAACACGCTAATCTCCTGAGAGTCCCTCCTTCCCTGCCGTCAGCCGTGGCTCACAGCCAGTCCTCCCCTGGCCATTCAGCCTTTTGCCATTGCTTCGCAGCTCCAGAAAATAGGGTGTGAGTTCACCCAGGGGGTATGTGACAGAGGTGGAACATAGCAGTGAAAACAGCCCTCGCCTGATTGGATGACATTCTTTGAAGGCCTAGTTCCAAATGTGTCAGCTATGGAGAGTTCTTGCTTCCAGAACTGTCTTGAGTGCACTCTGGAAAACAAAATACATGGTGTTCATTTAATGATGATATTAGTCCTGCCTGATGTGTTAAGTTAATATGAAATAGGAACAATTTACTTTCCCTTCTATATTATTTTTACCTGTTTATTCCAAACACATTTAAAACTTTTCATTGTGTGCCTAAACTTGGCAAGCTAATGGTAATATAAAACTGACTGATGACACTAGCCTCTTGAATCTTTCTTTTAAAGGGAAATGTGCATAATATGTGTGGACTACGTGTCTGCTGTTGTTATGTGTGTATTTGGATGTGCTTTGCTAGCGCTTTTGTTTTGTTCTTTGGGACATTGGGTTTCTTCAGATTTTTCTATTACCATGTTCATATTTTCTTAACTGATAAAGTGTTCTGTGAGGACTATATAAAAGACTAATGTGTAACTAAGTATTATTATCTTATAGCTAGTTACTTATTGCACAAAGTTTTTATGGTCTCCTACTGAAAGCTTATCTTCAGTGTTAAAGTTCATCTAAAGTGAACGTCATAGCAATCCAGACTTGTGCCAACTTTAGATTTTTATATTTATGTTATGTGTAAATTCTTAGACATTTTGGTAGCATTATACTTTCACTCAATCTTTCGAAACATCACTTTGGTATCTTTTGTTCTTTTGCGATGGTCTCACAATGTAGCCAGGCTGGCCTTGAATCCCAGAACTCTACCACCCTTTACCTCCTCAGTTCTGGAACAAAAGCTGTGTGCCTTGGGGCCTGGCTTTTCTTTCCCTTGTTAGGAATGATCTTGTCTTATGTCTACGGGTGTTTTGCCCACATGTATACGTGTGTGCCACGTGCAGAGATCAGAAGAGGGCATTGAATGTCCTGGAACTGGAAATTGGTTGTGAGCTGCCTCATATTGGGAACTGAGCCTGGGCCTCTGCAAGAGCAGTAAGGGTGTAACCTCTGAGCTGTCTTTTCAGTCCCCGCCTTAATCTTTTGTGTCATATCTTAAACCTCAGGCTATAGAGCATGGTAATTTATATTACCTGCTTAATTATGCTGTTTTACTATTTTTGTGAACAGCTTCATTAACCTGTGACTTACCAGAACTGGAAAATTGGGGTATTTTCCTCTGTACAGTTGTGATTAATATATGCTGGTGCAGATTTGGAACTCAGTGCTTTCTCTGTTCACTATTCTGCCCATTCCCAGTAACTCTTGTGGGCCTGCAGCTCCTACACTAATAATGGAGTGAAGTAGAGGGGCCAGTTTCAAAGGTAGGGCCTACTGTGGATGTTAATCTTGGAATAATAATATGGAAGCTGAAGAGACAGTTGATTAAGAGCACTTGCTGCTCTTCCAGAGCATCTGGGTTTGAGCCTTAGTACCCATATCATGCAGCTCTCAACAGCCAACAAACTCCAGCTCAGGCATTCCCAGGGCCTGCTAGCCTCCAAGAGCATCCACACAAGTGTAGTAGACAAATGTACACAAACACGTGAGTACAGAAATGGAAATAAATCTTAAATCCTAATATAGGTATATGACTTAGTAAGTAATGTAGAGTCATTCAAATTTACCTCAGAGACTCAGTCTGAATTCTTTTTGAGACAGGGTTTTCTGGCTTTGCTGGAATTCACTCTGTAAACCAGACTGGCCTCAAACTCACAGAGATCTGCCTGCTTGAGTTTTGGGATTATGGGCTACAGCATGAATTCTTCCATACAATATGTTAAAGTGACAAGTATTGCTGTAGGCATTTCATTTATTAGGTTAATATTTGTTAAGTCTCCTAGCGATGTGCTATTTCTTGTATTTTACAACTGAGAACACTGAAATGCATGCAGGCTCAGTGCCTTGCCCAGTGCCAGTTGATGACTCAGTAATTACATCACTACTCATTGCACCCATAGCTGGGGGGGTCCATGCTGTGTGTGACTAACCAGAGCGGCTCCAGGAGGCCCAGGTGCCAGCAGGAAAGTAAGTCTTGCACGAAATGGTCAGCACTGTACAGGAGGAGGATGAGCTCTAGACCAGCCTGGGCCTCATAGCTGGACAGTCCCAAAAACAAGGGCTGAATTGGAGCTTAGTGCTGGATGCGTCTAGAGTATGTGTGGGCCCTGGGTTTGAGTCCTCGCACCACAAAATAGTAAAATAATGTGTTCCATTGGGGAAAACTGGACTGTTTGGTCCCCTGCTGTAGGATTACTGTGACAGTCACAATAATACGTTGCTGATCCTGCCTCTTTCCCAACAGCCAAACCATCGAGCATATTACTAAACTAGTGGAGCAGCGTGGCAGCGACGTCTGGTGGACCCTCCCCCCTGCGCAGCTTCTCCCGGAGGAAGTCGTAGAGCAGGTAAATTGCTCTTGGGGAAGATGTGCGTGGGTCTTGGAGATGAAGGCTGCAGTGGAAAGCCCTGGGTTTGCATTCCAGAATTAGAGGCAGATGCCATCACAAGTGAATGTTTGTACTTGCAGTCGATAGAGCAGCGGAAGGCAGGGCATTTGTAACCTCAAAGGGCCACCGTTCTTCAGGCTCTCCTGGGTGACTAAGCAAACGGTACCATGAGAAAAGCATCTGCTGTTGGCACCGAAGGGCTGTGTGGGCTCTGACAGTGGTCGCTGATGGTGCCCTCTGTCAGCATTCTACTGGAAGTTGAAGTTACTACAACAATTGCCATGTTATCATGTGGCTATTCACTCCGAGTGCTGCTGAGGGGGGCTGTGTTCGACTGTGGAGTGCACTTTAATGTTTATTTTAAGATGTAGATTTAGTGCTTGTTTTTCACCTTCTTAAAACTTCCGGGACACTTACTGTGCGCTGTGTGGCCTCTGTAGCTAGGTCAAGTCTCTTCTTCTGCCTTTTAGGCTGGTGGTCCAGATGCTTTGGAGTACGTGCCAGGGCAGGATATTTTGGACATCTGGTTTGATAGTGGAACTTCATGGTCTTGTGTTCTTCCAGGTAATTTTCTTTTTCTTCTTGTTCTTTGTTTGTTTGTTTTTCAAGTCAGAGTTTTTCTGTGTAACAGCCCTGGCTGTCCTGGAACTCACATTGTAGACTAGGCTGGCCTTGAACTCACAGAGATGTACCTGCACCGAGTACTAGGATTAAAGGTGTTTGTCACCATGTCTGGCTCTATTTCCTTTTTAGATACATGTTTATTGTTTTCCTTATTTGTATGTTTGTGTGCGTGTGTGTGGGTATGCGCCTGTATGTTGGTATGTGCGTGTGAGTGCAAGTGCCCATGCAGGTGAGAGGGCGCTGACTCTCCTGGAAATGGAGTCCAGGCAGTTTTTAGCCACCCAGTATGGGTGCTGGGGACTGAATTCTGGTAAAGCAGCAAGAGCACTAACCATGGAGTCCTCCAGCTGTTTCTTCGTTTTGAGGGCTAGTAATATGGCTTAGCAGGTAGAGGGGCTTGCTACAGGAGCCTGGTTGCCCTAGCTTGATTCCTGGAGCCCACTCAAAGGTAGAGGGAGAACAAGTCTCTATAGATGTGCCCTCTGAGGTCACAGAGGACATGTACCGTGCATGCATGCTGAGACACACGCACAACAACAATAATAGTTTTGAAAATACAGAACTATTACTTAGGAGAGATCTTTGACCATAAACTTTGTGGGAGTTACTGTTTTGTTATGGGGTCCACTTAGATCCAATACAAATCAAACACCAGGGTAATGCAGATGACAAGTTTTGGTAGTCAGGACACTTCTGCTCAGTCAGGGCCACAGAACAGACTCGGGAGCTGAACTGCAATCTTGAGCCAGAATGTAAAGAGCTTTTAAGCTTGAAACCCATAAACATCTGTGCCAAGTTATAGTTACATTTTTCCACCACTCAGGATTTAGGAACGAGGGCTTTCCTTATGTGCTTCATCAATATCAATTGATACAGAATGTAGATTTTACATTCCAGCCAATCAAATCCATTTTTCTTTTGTGGTTAGGAACAGTCATTATGTTTTGGGGAACAAAAGATGAATAGCAGAAGCTGGTCATCTACTGGAGAGTCCCCAGCTCTCCTAGTGCCTGGGAACTAGTTTCACCCTATGATTAAATGGAGTTTGAAAACAAAATGGCAGTATTTAGGACAAGTTTCTTTAGTTTGTTCCCAACAGTTAGTTTTTTCTTTATTTGGAAGAGTCTCTGTCTTAGTTAGGATTTCTGTTGCTGTGAAGAAACACTATGGCCACAGCAACACTCAGAGAAGAAAGCTTTTAATTGGGGCTGCCTTAAAGTTTCAGAGGTTTGGCCCATTATCATCATGGTAGGGAGCATGGTGGCAGGCAGGCAGACATAGTGCTGGAGAAGGAGCTGAGAACTGTATCCTGATCCATAGGCTGAGAGAACTTGGGCCTGGCATGGGCTTTTGAATCCTCAAAGGCTACCCCCAGTTACACACTTCCTCAGCCAAGGCCACACCTCCTAATCCTGTCAAACAGTTCCACGCTCTAGTGACTAAGCATCCAACTATATGAGCCTGTGGGGGCCATTCTTATTCAGACCACCATACTCTGCTACAGTTCAGATCTGGAAAGGCCTGGGAGATGACTTAGTCCAGTGATTTCCCAACATGTTTTTTTTTTTTTGAGATGAAATTTTATTTTGAACTATACTACATAAGATTAGACTGGGATTTTTTAGCCAGTTTGGTGCTATAATCTAGCGCTTGGGAGGCTGAGGCAGGAGGGTCATGAATTTGAAGATAGTGTGGGCTACATAGGACACACTATTTCTAAAATTCCATCAAAAAAGGTAGTTTGGTTTGGGTTTTGGTTTTCCCCCTCTTCACCAGTGGTTCCTTCTCTTTGGCCTGCTTGGCAACCCCAAGATGCCCAGTTTGGAAACCACTGACTTAACCTGACCCCATCATTTTTCGCAAGAGGTCAAGTTAGAGCCAGGACACAGTGATCACGTAGTTAATAGTGTCAGAGTGCACACATGGCCCTCTGCTTTTCAGCTCCCGTTCTTCTGCATAGCTGTGCCCTCCCAACTATGCAGCCTGCTGACATTTCACACTTTCAGTTAGGTAAGTTTTTGACTCATTGCTAAGAAAAAGGGAAAGCATGGTCACAAAGCAGAAGGGGGCAGGAGGCGGCTGCACAGGAGCTGTGTGCGGGTGTATGAGAGGAAAGGTCCGGCAGCATCCCAAGGAAGGAGTTAGACAGTGGATAAAAACAGCGCCTCAAGCTTAGAGTTGCTACTTGTCACCCAAGGGGCCCTCTGCTTTCCAAACAAGAGTAGTGGGGGTGGGGGGAGCAGCTTCTCTGCAGCTGGCCTCTAAGGGACTGAGGGAGTCATCTTCAGGTTTCCTGTGGAATAAATGTGTGTTCCAAGGCTTCACTGTGGTGATTGTGGCAGTAGGATCCTAGCAGGTAAATGGGGATTCTTCATTTGGACCGTTCAGTTTAGGCAGTTTGAAGTTCAAATGTTTATAAACCATGCTTGTCCATTAAGATGTCTACTGGCTAAATTGATGTTAATTGAAATGATTTTTGGTATATTGATTTCCGGCACTATTTCCTAATTATGTTTCCCTGGACACACTTGAGAGGTATTATGGCAGGTTTAGGTGCTTTGTCTTGTGCGTTCACAAACAGTGTATGTGAGCAGCAGTACTTGGGGTAGATTGGAGCAGAAGAAAGCATTCTCTGCTGGCACATTTGGGACAGCCTCTCCAGTCCCAGGACGGAGGGTGCCATGCACACAGTGGTTCCTGTGGTATAGATGGCTCGCCAGCAAAGCTACTGCCTCACACTGTGCTCTTGGTAGCCAGGTGCAGAAAAGGCAAGAGGCCTGCTGGCCCTTGGGCGGATTAAAGTGTTATTCACACCTGCCTGTCACATGATGCCTGTGCATGCTAGGCAAGCTCTCCACTCCTCTGTGCCAGCCCCCAGAGTGTGGATGTTTGTGAACACGTGCGTTTGACTGCAGGGCGCATGGTCACAGTCCAGCACAGTCACGCTGGTCACTTAAGCACTGAGACACACTTGGCTTCACTTTCCTGGTCTAACTGACTTCGTTTGTGTTCATTTCAGGCACTGAACAGAGGGCAGATTTGTACCTGGAGGGGAAGGACCAGCTGGGGGGCTGGTTCCAGTCTTCCTTACTAACGAGCGTGGCCACAAGGTCAAAAGCACCTTTCAAGTAAGTGCCCACTCTGCCCAGGGTAAGCGTGCTGTCCTGGGCCTCTGAGCGCCTGCCAGGTGTGCCCCACATGCTGGGGACATCAGCGCACAGGCTGGCACTAGCAAGCTGGAGCATTCATTGTTCTTCCTGTCTCTGGAATGAGAGGAGCACTGAGTCAGTGTCATTCAGAAGAAGAAGTGAATTTGGTGGGTGTGGAAAGGCTGAGTGACATGGCAGCTGTTGTGTTAGGTACAGTTTATAAAAGTGCCATAGTCTTTTCATCCCAGTCACACATCCCTGCAATCCGAGCACTCCAGAGACAGAGATGGGAGGATCTCAAGATCAGGGGCAGGGCCATGAGCACACCCTGTCCCAAAAAGAACAACCAGAAGCAAAACTAACATAGGGAAAGAGAAAAGGGAAGAGACATGGCAGTGTGAGGCATCTGCCCCTGGAGCAGATTGCACCTCCCGGAAGACAGGGTGGTGTTGAGTGGAGGTGGCTGGGCAAACTCTGTAAGACGCATCTTCAGCTGGGCATGCAGGGAGGGGCAGTGTGGGCAGGTGAGAGCGGCCTGAGCCCGTCCCCTGCGGTGGGGTGGAGATGGATAGTTGCTCATTCCTGTGCTATGCCAAGACTTACACAGTAGCCTGAGAGTTTGTTTGCTCTGCCAGGTCTAGACCACCACAGGCAGTTCAGTGCCTATCTCTGTGTTGCTGTTAAAAGCCAGCCAGGGCAGGAAGTACCGTTTTTCTTAAGTTGTCTCATGGAAGTTGGTTTTAAGGACGTGGTCTGCACTCTGTCTTGTCTCCTTGGTTTCAGTATTTAGAGTCCGTGCGTCAGGACAGGAGATGCATTGGCGCACAGGACATAGAATGCCTGTCTCACTGTGTTTAAGTTGGAGACTCTCTGCCTAACAGCCTGATGCAAGAATTCTGGGAAATGGCCCGAAGAAGCGCTCACCCATAGTGTGTCAAGACACGGCCAGTGATTAAAATGGCTCCTCACACTGAAGCTGCTCCTCTTTCTTAGGACAGTGATGGTTCATGGATTTACGCTTGGAGAAAAAGGAGAAAAGATGTCCAAGTCCCGCGGGAATGTCATTAACCCTGACACTGTCATCAATGGAGGAAAAGTAGGTGTCTTTGTTGCCAGGTTCTTATTTTAGCAACTAAGTCTTTAGTCGCTATCTCGGTGTGAATAAACAAAAGATTAGAGCTGTGTCTGGCAGGAATTGCTAGGGATGGCAGGACAGCTATTCAGGAGGCAGAGACACAAGGTTGCTTGAGCCCAGGAATTCAGAGCCAAGAATAGAGGATGGCTTACTGTAATGTTTCAAATCTAAACTAGTGTGTGCACATGTGTGTAGAGGCCTCAAGGTGTCAGGTTTTATTACGTGAAATTGCAGTTTTATAATTAAATGGAAACTTGGGAGAAAAACAAGAGATTGTAAATTCTGAGTGCACATTATTATATTTTAGGGCATACACACTTTGAGTCAGAATGGCCATCAGATTTGGGGTGACTGGTAACTGGGGGCAGGTTAGAGTTGCTCTCACGAGAGATCCACAGTGTCTTTTCTTGCTCCTGTGGCTTTCACGGCCCCTTCCACATCCTGTGGTCACTGGGTTGCCGGGAAGTACGGAAGGGAAGACAGCTCTGCACCCTCCTACCCGCTGGCCACTCTGCAGATGCCATGTGCCCAACCCAGATGTCCTGGGTGTGGGGCCACTCCTGGGCTCTGCCCTCTGCCTTGGACTGTCTCAATAGCCTTTACGTTTTCAGAGACAGCCTCCTTTGTGGTGGATGTTTCAGGACTGTGCTTGCGCAGCCTGTGTTTACATAAAGCCTTTGGCTCTCTAATGGACATAAAGCAAAAGCCATTCTATTTCCCTGTTGTTCCACAATGGGAAGGATCACAGCAGAGAGCCTCCCTATGGAGCTGATGTCCTGCGCTGGTGGATAGCTGAATCCAACGTCTTCACTGAAGTGACCATTGGCCCCTCTGCACTCAGTGCTGCCCGAGACGACATAAACAAGGTCAGAAGTTCTATCACACGCTGATTTAGAATTAGATTTATATACTTTCCAGGTACCTGGGGACTTTGCAAGCCAGATCTATTTATCTTTCTTTTTCCTTGTGAATCAGATGAGATAGCATATAGCCATTTGTGCATAAACAGGCTGGGGGAAGTTGGTTTATCCTGAAGAGACTGAACAAAAACTCAGCCTCTGTATGAAAGTTTGTTTTATAAAGTTCATGGTTGTTTATTTAAATCTCATGGTAGAATGAGAGTTTATTTGTGCCTCTGCAGTCTTAGTTAGAAATAATAGGATTTTAAAATCTTATAAAGAAAACAACAGCCAGTTAGAAAAAATTATCAGTTATAAAGTAACTATGGAGAAATTGAAAAGCCTCATTTCTTGTCTTTAACTGTGTATGTTCTCTCACTGTGAATAGCTTAGAAACACACTCCGCTTTCTCTTGGGAAATGTGGCCGATTTTAACCCAGAGACAGATTCTGTTCCTGTCAAAAATATGTACATCATAGACCAGTACATGCTGCACTTGATCCAGGATTTTGCGACAAAGGTCAGTGTACAGTAGCAGGCTTCGGCAAATGGCAACATCAGCATTTTCTCATCACTTTTAGAAATTGTACCTTGTGTCCCCAGAAAGTACGCCCCGGAGCCCCACCCAGTTCAGGGTGACCGTGGGATGAAGTGTTTTCATGTCTTTGCTGGATTCTCACGTTTTTAGACATTTAGAGTGTGTTTGCGCATACGTGCCTGCGTGTGTGCACACAAACCAGAATTTTATTTATGGGAGTTGGTTCTTTCCTGCCACCATGCGTGTCCCAGGGAGCCGACTTAGGCTGTCAGGCGTGGTAATAGGCAGCTTTGCCTGCGGAGCCTTCTCATTGCCAACTTCTGCCACATCTCCAGCTGCTTTTGTGTGTTTTGTTGGTAAAGCCTAAGAAAACACACACAGTTGATTTTGAGCGGGGATCACCTTCAACAGGACTCTTAAGTTCAGCCTCTCTGCTCTCAGAGGAAATTGTGCATTCAGAACTTGGAGCCTTCAGTGGCTGGGGCTGTGATCTCTCACCTTTCTCACTGACCCAGGGAAGAACACATGTTCTCCCTTGATGGTTGTCTAACAGTCAGAGCTGCTGCCCTTTGCACCTGCTTCCTCTGTGTCTTGAAGCTCTCTCAGGTGCCTCTCCTCACCACTACATATGTTTACACCTTTGTGCTAATGGCAGGAAACCGTTTGCCAGCACAGCATGGAGCCTACGCTGACAGACAGCCTACTCCATTACTTTTGAATTTAGCCTCATTCAAACTGCCAGGTCAGGGCTGGAGCAGTTAAGAGCACTGGCTGCGTTTCCAGAGAACCTGGTTTGATTCCCAGCACTTACGTGAAAGCTCATAACCATCTGTATCCCGCTCCCTTTTCTGGCTTCTGCTGGCACCAGCACACAAGTGGTACACAGGCAACATACCAATATAGAAACAAAACACATTTTAAGTCACCAAGGTGAGGGCAAAGTGCATAGATTCTAATATAACATGGATGACCTCTAGCCAGTTTCCAGTAGTTCTTCTCTGCTGTCCTAATTTTTCTTGCCATTCTGGCCTTCCGGACTCCCATCACAACAGCCCATTGAGTACTCCAAGGCTTCCCAAGCCCCCAACCCTTAGCTCCTCCACATTCCTCCCACAAAGACTCGTGAGCCAGAATAGCTCCTCCACAGCAGTTGCCCCTCCCGGGGCCAGTCGCCCCTATCAGTCACTTCTTTTTTGACAAATACTAGACAAGAGCAACTCAGGAAGAGTTGATTCTGCATCTCTTTGTCATGGTCAGAGACATGCCACAGGGCACAAATACCTGTCCAAGAACACGTGAGCCCCAGGGATCAGATTCAGGTTGTCAGGCCTGGCGGCAGGCGCCTTTAACTGCCGAGCCACCTCACCAGGCTGGGCAGTTTAATTTGACTCACGGTTGAAGAAGAGATAGTTTGTTTTGGCTGGGAAGACTTGGTGCCAGAGGGACATAAGGTGACCAGGCACATTGTTCACAGTCTGGAAGCAGAGAGATCAGCGCTGGTGCTCTCCCGTTTCTCCTCTCCTTTTTATTGTGCCCAGAACCCCTGCCCAAGGTTGTGCGCTCATATTCCGGGTGCTCTTCCCTCTTCAGTTAAACCTCAGGAAACACAGTCACAGACATGCGCACATGTTTCTTAGGTCGTTCTAAATCCTGTCCAGTTGCAGTCAGGTGAACCATCACGTGTAGATAGTCTGTTTTCCCAGGTTGGGTATATGCTGCTTCAGTGTACCCTGTGTCAGAGGGATACATGTACATTTTCACTCAATTAAAAAATGGATGAGGGAATACATGAGGCAGTGAACATTAATGGTTGCTGGCACCTTCCATTCCTTGCTGTTTTGAAAATTATTTGATTTGAGCCAGTGAGATGACTCAGCTGATAAAGGCATTTATGCCAAAGCCTGATGACTTAAGTTTGATCCTTAGAATTCACAGTGGAAAGAGAGGACCAACTCCTAAAAAGTTGTCCTCTGATCTCTGTATGCCTGTTGGCACGCACACCACCCATGCGCGCCACACACACGCGCACACACACAAACACTAGTAAATTTAAAATATATTTTTAATTTTCCTCTCCTCAAACCCCGTACCCCCAACCCTTATCTTTCTTGAGACAGGGTCACACTGTGTAGCACTGGCCGGCCTGTAATTTGCTGTGTAAACACGTTGATTTTGAGCACAGATCCACCTGCCTCGCCTCCCTGAGTGCTGGGATTAAAGGCGTGCACTACCACACCTGGCCTAAAAGAAAAATTACAAACTTTAAAGTGGTGTGATTCCATTACCTCAGACTTACAGGAAGGGAGTAGCTTGGTGTAGAGGGCTTTCCCAGCATGCACAAAGGTCGAGTCCCGTCTTCATTACAGCACCATGCCAAAGCAGGGGCTGGCAAATAGCTTGGTTGGTAAAGAGGTCACTGTCCATGCCCGAGGACCTGAGTTTGATTTCTGGACTCCACACCACATTGAAAAAGTTGAGGGTGGCATCAGCTTGCCATTCTAGTGTTGGGACCTTGAAGACAGGTGTGTCTTGAGGCTCACTAGGCAACCAGAGCAGCACACTTGAGGCCAAGGAGAAGGCCTGCTTAAGAAGCAGGTACATGGTTCCTGGCTCGAGCTTGACCTCTGGCATCCACACACATGTGCACCTACACATACATGAACATGCATTCCTAGACACACAAAGCAAGCAGTTAAACAGCTTTTCTTTCCTCGGAGCATGTTGTGCTGCCGTTTCCAGAGCAGAATAGTGATTATTTGAACAGCCGTGTCTCTAGAAAGACATTCACTTGTATTCCTGCCTGTCTTTCTTCAAATTATTTTTTAGTGTGTGTGTATGTGTGATGCACATGCATGTGTATACATAAGCTTGTGCACGTATGTGTACACACTGGCATACATATATATGAAAGCATAAAGCTGATACTGTCCTTCCACCTTATCCTTTGAGGCAGGGTCTTAAACTAAATCACGTGGGCAGGTAAGATGGCTCAGCTGGTAAGGGCACTCGCTGCCAAGCCTGATGACCTGAGCTGAAGCCCCAGGACTTCACAGAGGAAGGAGAGAACCAACAACTGTCCTCTGCTGGCCACGTGTGACCTATGGCACATACACACATGCCTTTTCTCCTTTCCCCCAATAAATGTAATAGCAGATTTATAAAAGAACAGGAAAAGTGAACCAATAAACAGTCTCTAAAATTTCAAGGGAAAATCGTAGGAAAGGAAAACCCAGCACTCACACCATGCTAGCTTTGCAGCCAATCTGCTTTCGAGATCCCTGCTCCACATTGACGGTGGAATCACAGGCATTGCTGGAGGGCTGCCATGCCTACCTGGCACTTAGTGAGTTCTGGGGTCCACACTGATTGTCTTGCCTGTGAAGCAAATGTGGCGACTGAGACACGTCTCTTGAGATGCTTGTGAAAGGAGCTTGTCTGACCTGTGACCGTGCTTCTGTCCTCGTTGGAGTTTCTACATTTATCCTCCCTTATTCTCTAGATCACTGCCTCGTACAAAGAGTATGATTTTGGAAAAGTTGTCAGGCTGTTAAAAGCATTCTACACCAGAGAACTCTCCAGCTTTTACTTCAGCATAGTCAAGGATAGGTAAGTGTGACCAAGCGTGTGGTCCTCAGCAGGGATGTTTGAGTGTCTCAGCAGCAATGAGGATGTAGCGGCCACGGTGGGCAGCTGGGGACTCAAGTATCAGTTGTGCCCTGCCACTGACTAGCTTCATGGTTGGGGTAATTGGGGTAACTCAAGGTAATCTCAGTGTGTCGGAAAAATGAGGAGGCTAACACCTGGCCTTCTAATCCCAGCACTTGAGAGTCAGAGCAAGAGGCTCTCTGAGTTCAAGACCAGACTGTTCTACAAAGAGAGTTCAACGCTAGGCCAGCCAGGGCTGCACAGAGAGACTCTGTCATAGCAGCCTGTCACGCCCTTGGTGCCTGTGTACAGTGAGGAGAGCCGCCGGAAGATGAATGCCCTGCTGTCCTTGAGGGCGGGCCAGGACTAGCCAGGTCATTCTCTAGTAACACCGGGTTTCTCAGTATGCCCACTGCAGGTGAAGGTGCTGGCTTGGTGACTGGTCAATGCTACCATGTCACGTGGCACCTCAGCAGCCTTGGCATAGGGTTTACAAGTCAGATTCTTTCCCTAAAAGTCTTGTGGCACCGTTGGGAATGGGAGTCATTTAAATTGTCGTTAGTTACCTTATTAGTTACTTGTCATCCAGCTATACCATCCACAGTTGGACAAGGTGTGAGGGAATGGGTACATGTTGAGAGTAAAATGGGATAGACAAGCTGTCCAAACCAGTACGGACTAGCTGTAGTTTGAGCACTAGCTGTGCCAGGGTGGAGCCACGTCAGCTACCGAGCAAGCCTTTCTTTCAGGCTCTACTGCGAAGGCGAGAAGGATCCCAAGCGGCGCTCCTGCCAGACTGCACTGGCAGAGATTCTGGATGTGTTGGTCCGTTCTTTTGCCCCCATTCTTCCTCACTTGGCAGAAGAGGTGTTCCAGCACATCCCATATGTTAAAGGTGAGGAAAACTCTCCTCTGCACGAGAAGGGTCGTGCAGGGTTGGCTGTGCTTGTGCAATGTCGCTGTGATGAGGTTCCCTCAGGTAGCCTAGTCTGCTGTGTGCCTTCTCACACCGGTGTCAGGGTCATCTCTAGAGCCTTCTGAAGTGTATGAAACACTTGACAATACTGAGAAATCAGTTTTGCTTAAATGTGTTCATAATGTTCCAAAATGTATTTTAATCTTTTTTGGGTTTTGAGACAGGGTTTCTCTGTGTAGCTTTGGCTATCCTGGACTCACTTTGTAGACCAGGCTGGCCTTGAACTCATGGAGATCTGCCTGCCTCTCCCTCTGAAGTTCTGGGATTAAAGACCTGTGCCACCACGCCCAATTCAGTATTTTAAGCTTTATTCAAACAAAATTCAGTGCTTTTTAGTGAATACTTTTATGTTTATTTTTTTTTCTCTCCTGATTTTATTTTCATAGAAAACTAGAAACTTGAGGGGGTGGCCAGTGGCAGGTCATTCACAGCCTCACAGGCGTGGGGAAGTGTTGTGTCCCATGGAACACAACTCATGCTCATAGCTCTGCTTCGCTCTGAGGTTTTTATGTTCATAATGTGTAAGGGAAAAGGCACCTTTGACTGTGGGTCCTAGGACCATCAGTCTGTTTCACTGACTTCACGTCCCAGATAACAACCCTTGTCTCTCCTTAGTGGTTAGTTTGTATTAAAAAGCGTATATGCCCTCTGACTATATATAACTTGGTTTATTTTATTTACTTATTTATTTATTTTTATTTTCCTTAAAGAACCCAAGAGTGTTTTTCGAACTGGCTGGATTGAAACATGCTCTATCTGGAAGAAGCCAGGACTGGAGGAGGCCGTGGAGAGTGCTTGTGCCATGCGAGATTCCTTTCTTGGTAGCATCCCTGGCAAAAATGCCGCCCTGTATGAAGTTTTCATAGTGATTGAGCCGGGGCTACTGTTTGAAATGATGGAGGTATGCATAGTAGATGGAGGATGCGTAGTGGATGGAGATAATATGTAGTGGATGATGTGTAATGGAAATGATGTGTGGATGGAGGCTTGCTGAATCACTCCCTTCTGAAAGGGTGGGAGCATTGAAGCTTCATCTGAAAACTCTTTATTTTCAAATGTTTAAGGCTATATATTTAATTTAGAAACTAGGATTTCAGTCTTGCAGTACTTTCCTGTCACTGATTGTTTCCTTCTCTGAACTTGTGACACACGTAGGGGGCGATTTAAGTCTCTGTGTGAGAATACACAAAAACCGAGTTTTCTCAAAGGCCTGGGTTTTGAAAATTTTGTCCATGTGGATCATATTCCAAAAATGAGCTCTCTAGGACTGCATACGAACCAGAGACAAATCAACACATTTCTCAGACCTTTCATCATGTTTTAATTTCCATAAGTAGCAGGCTGTCAAGCCTAACACACTGACCTGAGCCTTATCTCTAGTTTAAATGCTTCAGAAAAGGGCTTTCAGTGAGCACATATGTGTGTGTGTGCATATAAAACATTTTCTTAGTATGAGTTTTGGGCTAGAGAGATGGCTTAGCAGTTAAGAGCACTTGTTACTATAGCAGGGTACCTGGGTTCAGTCCCAGGGCCCCATCTGGCGGCCCACACTAGGCCTGCATGTTGTATGTAAACAGCAAACATTCACACACATAAAATACCCAAACCTTTACAAATGAAAGGAACCATCTCAATTTCAATATTTAAAGAATTGAGACTTGAAGTCGCTAGACTATATGACATTGTTGGCAATTTTAAGAGTAGGCGCTGGGCATTGTGGTTTAATATTGGAAGCCATTGGCAAAAACTGAGGACAACGAGACCATTGGCCTGGCCAAGGCTGCACAGCCCAATTCTGGGTTGCCATTGCCCTGTTAGACACACACACACACACACACACATACACACACACACACACACACTTTAGTTGTAAATAACAAGCTTTAAAGAACATAGCTATTTAGACAGTTTTACTGGAAAAAAGTACTTTGGGATATTAATATTCTTGTTGCTGTAACAAAGCAATTTAAGGAACAGTTTATTTAGTTTAGGGTGATGTCTGTTACTGCAGCAGGAGCTTTGGGGGCTGGTCATGTTGGTGGGCAGGTGGAAAGAGCTGAGTGCAGGTGCTCAGCTCACTTTCCTTCTGCTCAGTCCCATACTCGACCCCTAGAAACTTCCTCATACACGTCCAGAGGTTTTGTCAGGTTGACAGCCAGGATTAACTGGACCACCATAAGTGTGTCTTCCTTAGGAATCGTAAGTGATGTCAGGTGGGAGACTTGCTTCTACCAATGACTAAGTGACTGAACTTGTCAAAACCAAATTATTCTCAGTCTCCTATTTTCAAGAGGAATATTTATATTACTTCACAAACTCATGTTGAAGATCAAAATTACAATGGGAAAGTCTCAAAGTGCTTCTCAGATAGCCTAGCTCACTGTACACTGGAAAGGCTGACTCTTCAGATGGCCAGTGCACTACACTAAAGCAGGTTTTTATTTAACAGGCTCTTAACCCCTCTTCGAATACTGGAATCGTAATGGGGAAGTAAAAAAAGTCAGCAGAGTTTTGGCTTACCAGACAAGGTTAACTTAACCTATTTTGCTCATTGCAAAATAAGTGTAATAAATACTATATAGATTGGAGTGAAGCAAAGTGTATACTCCAGTAAACAACTAAAATTGATGGTCAAATTTAAACTGAAGCAGTAACTTTCAAATGCCTTCCAGATGCTCCAGGCCAAGGAGACCTCTAGCACATCTCAGCTGAATGAGTTGATGATGGCCTCCCGAACAACACTTCTGGCTCAGGAGCCACGGGAGAGAGCTGAAGATGGCATTGAGCTTACAGGGACATTCCTCATCAATCTAGAAGGTGAGCGCAGCGAGTGGGGACTGCTGGGCTACTGTAAAGGCAGGAGCACACTTGCAACAGTCTATGGCCAGTTCACAGCTGCTAGCTGTCTGAGCCAGCTCTCAAGGAAACCAAGGCAGGGACAGTTCCTTCTCACTTCCTGAGTAACTGTCACTGTGAGTCTTTTTCCATCTTCTCTCTTCTGATACACAGTACCTAAAACTGCCCGACCTACCTATCCTTCCTGGGTAGACCCTGAAATGTCATTTTATGCATATCTAAAATTAAAATTTTGTTTAGTTATTCTTATAAAAGGTTCAGTAGATTTACTGGACTTTTTATCACAGGATTTTAGTGCATTTTCTGCAGAGTTCGGTCATCTTCATTAATAGAAATAGTGGAGAAAATGGTGGTTCCTTTTGTGTAACTTTTGAGTGGTGGCACTCTCGTTGTCTCCGTAACTTGGCATTTTAAGTTCCTGATTTAAGAGCTTGGCATGGTGGCATATGCCTATAGTTCCAGCATTGACTAGGCACAGACTGATGTATCTCTGTGGTAGCAAGGATATACAGAGAGACTCTATGTTTATTTAAAAAAAAAAAAAAAAAAAAAAAAAAAAAGCCCAAGTCACTTGTGTAGCTGGGTCAAGAATGACAGCCAGCTTTAACTAAGCATCACAGCTCTGACTTGATGAGAAGCAGTTAGTCAAACTGCATGATGCTTTTGGGAGTGTGCTGTGTTACAGGGCAAAACCTGGCCCACTGTTAGAAAGGTAGGAGGGAGGAAAGCCATGGAAGGAGCGCCTGCTGAACCAGGGAGGAACGGTAGTGCAAGCTTAATGACTGTGGAGGTGCTCTGTATTCTTTCAAGGTGGTGACATTCGTGAGGAGTCTTCGTATAAAGTCATTGTCGTACCAACTGCCAGAGAAAAGTGCCCTCGATGTTGGAAGCACACCGCTGAGACTGCAGATACCCTCTGTCCTCGGTGTGCAGATGTCATTGGTGCAAAGTAGCACTCTGATGTTAACAGCTCTGTGAGCGATAACCCTCCTCACAGTACTGACTGGGGTGGATCAGAACCCTAGAAAGAAATCCGAGGCTTAGGTAAGGAATGCAAGAGTAAGTGGTAAAAGATGGAGTAAAAATCAGAAAATCAAAAGGAGTATTATTTCCTGTAACTTCAGAAATAATGTATATATATACACATGGATATATATATATATATATATATATTATATATATATAATGCGCAGACACATATAGAAGGCAGGCACACACTCATAGACTTCCTCAGAGACAGACACTGAATATGGTTACTTGCAATGTGGCCAAGCAGAATGTTTTATATTTTATTAAAACTTTTTTGACTCAGTATTTAAATTCTGTGATGTCTGAAAATAAAGGCATTCTGGGAAACTCCCAACTGATGATGGTCTACATGGTGTAGACGTTGTGGATAATGAGGAGTATTTGGAGGGGAATGCAGTCGTGTGCCCCTACAAGGTGAAGGGAGTCAATTCATTCTGCCCTCTAGCAAACATCAAGTTTCTAAAGCAGCAGGATTTTGAAATGTACTACAAAGAATATCACCAAATTTATTTTTCAAGAGGGGAGAAATCTTTGTTCTTACATGTATGAATGTTGAGGAAATAACATGAAAGCTAAAAATTTATTTCACTAATATACATAGGTTCACAATAATGAACAGACACGGGAAAAAACATATATACGGAATCACTACTTACAATAGATTGACAGTAGGTAAATAATAGAGCATTTTTATAAACAATCCAATACTGGATTGATCTTTCAGGGATGGCTAATCTACTAAGTAGAATCTAGCCTCCCAGCAAACCTGTCCCTATGAGGTGAGAGGGCTTTCACTGTTTCTATGCTGCACTATAAGATATTTGTTTCTGAATGAAATGGATCACAGCAACTTCTGAGTGAGCGCTATAATTGATGTAAGCTTATTGTCACTAAGTCTTACTTTTCTATGATTTTAAGTCACAAGTAATCAGATTTTAAGAAGCTACTTAAAAGTAGCAGACTTTACACTGACCTTTGATAAACTTTTCTAACAGGTAAAGTTCTTTTCTCTTTGCAAAAGTGTGAAGCATTGGAAAGCATGGTACTATGTACTGCTGTATCTACATTTGTCCTAGTCCTCCACTTCTCCATCTAAACTCAACCTGGAATCGAGATGTTAGGGTTGTTTAAATAGTTTTATTAACAAGGTAGAAATACGTGATGTAAGGAGAGGGGAAGCCTCTAAGGACACACTTCTGGTTACAGGCATGTGCCATGCCCTTATTGCAGGGACAACAGCCGGATGTCAGAACCTAACTTCTTTATTTGTGGCACTTTGCTGTTAGAGAATGGATACATACATGTTAATTTTTCTTTCTTGCCAGATTTTAAAAGCCCTTACTGAAGTAGACGATATTTTACTGCTTCTGTTAAACAAATCTCAGGATTTAGTTTTAAAATTCTATGTATTTTATATTTTTTTTAATGATAAATCTAACCAGAGACTTAACAGTTTGTGTTCTTGTTTTCTTATGTGACCTACCAGAGTAAATTTAGTCAGTTTTATTCTCCAAAAAAAAAAAAAAAAAAAAAAAAAAAAGCAAGCTATCACCCTCCTGAAACAATGGGATTAGTAATGGCATTAGAGTAAAAGACCATCAATCATCATTAGCAGAGCTTGCAGTGCCAGGCTTTCCTGGCAAGCTGCCCATCCTGCCCCTTCCAGAGCACTAGAAAGTCGTGGGGAAAGGGGACCTCCTAGCACTGTGTAAAGGGTGCTGTTTATCTCAGTCCTGCTTTGCTACGTGATTCCAGCGTGCCACCGGCTGCTCCTCATAGCCACCTGAGCAACATCTGAAACCATTTTCTTTGAAGATGTGAAATCTGACAGTTAACAGAATTAGTTTTAGCCAGTGACAATCTTACTTAAATTCTAACTTTTTAATGAAAGAGTATTCACATTTGTGTGTATTCAGGTGTCACTTGAATCCCTGAATATTCTCAACCTTCTAGCGCAGTTGGCTGCTTCCCTCTATTAGAATGAGTTCTGTGAACAACTGTGATTATGGCAGACACCAATAATTGCATTGTATGGCTACATTCCAGAGACAGTTAAACTGCAGCAAGAACTCTGTAGAGTTCTTGCAGAGTGCAAAGTACCACTGACAGGCCGGGTTAGGTGGGTCTATCACACACTTGCTTAGCACTTGGGCTGCTCTAGGCACTACAGGGTGCAGAACTAGTTTAGTTTATCCTTTCTCTGCACCCAGCTGTGAGGTAGGGTTGCTAAGGCTGTGACAGCACAAAGTGTATTTTCTGGCCTGCTTCCAGAACGGGCAATATGACCAAGTCCCAGAAACAGACATTTTTGACACTTGGAAGAAAATAAAGTTGGACTTTAAATATTTTAGAATATTTGCTTTGTTCTTTTTTTTTCTTTTTTTTTTTTTACATGTCTTACAAGATAATACATTTTTACAATCACCTGATGTGGATACAATTTTGGAACTTGACAAAGTAAATCTTAATTTACATTATAATTGCTTTTGCTGCATTGTTCACATCTCTGATTCCCAATTCTGTCAAGTACAGCAGGCTCGGGGTCCTTCCCCAGGTCCCTTTGGTGATCTCAAGCCATTTCTCCTATGACAGCAGCAGCAGTACCCTGGACAGGAAGCGGGCAGCACCAAGAGCTCCCTGCCAGGCAGCATCCTGGTGTACAGGACCAACCATGAGGACATCAGTGCGTGTTTTAAAGGGACATGGGCTGCATCACTAGCGTGCTGATGTAAGCTATGTGAACACACTTAATCCCCACAGGAGTCATTTGGATATGAACTAGAATACTACTGTGAGAACAAAATCTGCAAATTATAACCAATTACAATACCAAAGTTTAACAGTAATGCTGCTTATTTGACTGAAAAAATAAACAGTAAGAGCATCTGCATTAATTACAGAGTAGCTAGTGTGATCATATTTTATCTTCAGTGTCAACTGAAGAAGTGGAATTTAGCCAGGATTGTACTTTTTAAAGTAATATATTTATTATATAAAAGAAAAAAAAAAAACCTCCAGAAAGTTCCCAGTCTTACTGTGTAAAATGACATGCAGTGATTCCTGTGTTACAGGATTGTAGACTACTGTCATAAAGTAGCCATGGCTTCTACAGCTTCGATGAGGTGCAAGGCGAGGCTGTACTGCCCGTGCTTTTCTGGCAGGAGTTCCATTACTTTATGCACTAGTTTAGCTGTTGCTGCAATTGGCACATCAGTGTTTTGAAGATCCTGGGGATTCTGTGAATAGGACACAAAAGCCATTAGTTTCATGCAGCCAATCAATAATTGTTACTGCCTTAAGCTTCACTGTGGAAGTTCTCCCAATAAAAACATTTCTTTGGAAGCAAGCTTCTTGCTGTGAACTCACTGAAGAAACCACCCCTGGACCTTCTGCATATGCTGTCCTGCACTCACCATTGCCTTCAGCCAGGTGCAGAGTGTGGGTGGGAGTCTGGCCAGCAGCTCCATGCCTTCTTTTGTGTGGGTATGGAAGAGCGCGTGAGCCAGCCTTTGCCCTGTTAACACCAGCAGCTGAGATGCCAGAACTTCTTTGTCATGAACTTGCAGAATGGCCTGAGGATGAGCATGGAGAAACAATGCAGCATGAGCTACTCAGTCTGCCCTGAGAAGGTTGTCAATGAAGGTTTGACTTCAGCTCTCAACAATACTATGAGTGTAGATAAAGAATTGAAATCCAACCTAGAATTTAAACCCATATCTTGTCCTTCAGCTAATTTTTTATTATTACCTAATTTTTCAATTTAGTATGACAGTACCCCTCATTTTCAAGTAAAGGGGATACTGGATTTTGTCATCCTCTGATGGCTGCTGAATACTCAGACTTGGAGAAAAGCCAACCTCCTCTCCTTACTGCTGACGGTGACATTCCTTGCTGGTGAGTGGATGTCTACCCACCCTTACTGCTTACAAGGTCTGGCAGCCACACTGGCTTTCAACCTTGCCAAGCTGGTCACCATCTCAAGACCTTTGCACTCCTTTGTTCTTCCATTTGAGGCACTGGTCCCCCAGCTCTGTGAGCGGCTAGTTGCTTCTTCTTGAGTGGTCTGTTCAGTTATTACTTTCTTTCACTCACTGAGGCTATTTATCCTATGGTTCTGGTTCCTTTCATCTCTTGGTACTGTACATGTTTTACTGCTTTATCCCTATATGAACCTGGCATTAGGCACAAAGTTGGCTACAGCTTTCTATACTTATTATTATTGTTCCTCCCTCCCTCCCTCCCTCCTTCCCTCTCTCCCTCCCTTGATTTTTAAGACAAGGTTTCTCCTGTAGACCTGGCTGTCCTGAATTGGCTGTATAGACCAGGCTAGCCTCGAACTCAGAGACCCACCTGCCTCTGCCTTTTAAGTGCTAGAATTAAAGGTATGTGCCCCCATGCCTGGGTCCTTTTGTTGTTTTGATACTGGTTCTCATGTAGTCAGTTCAAGCTGGCCTGTATAGATGAGGGTGACCTTAAATTTCTTATCCTTCTGCCTCCACATCCCAAATTCACACACTACTATATACAACTATTTTAATATTCATTTACTGCTTCTTCCAGCTGTCTGTTTTATAACTTGAATCTCATGAACATCATTCTTACCTCCTCTCCTAAGAGGTCAGCTCCATAATTGTACAACTCTCCCACATAATGCCTTCGAATGACATCTTCGCTCACTTGAAGGTGATGGGCTAAATCCACAGCCAGATCTGGCCAGTTGAGGTCTTTCCAATGACTGCTTGCTGCTTCTTCAGAGGGACCTTTGTCCTTGCTGATGGAATGCTGAGCCTGGACAGCTGCACTGACAACTTTCAGTAAGAACTTGAAGACAGGAAGGCACAGCACTGCCTTGTCAGTACTTTTCATTTAAAAGTAGCCCAGTGCTTGTTGTGTAAGCTTGTGGCTTGTGTTCAATCCCAAGGGTTCATTTAAAGGTGGTGTGGGGGACTGACCCCACAAAGCTGTTCTCTCCCCACCATACTAAGTGCCAGGGACAATCACAGCCACCCCCTCCCCATACAATTGCCACAGCATGAATGTGGAGGAGCCTAGATATGGGACTAAGGTCACCGAGTGCCTTGACCTGCTGAGCCATCCCACTTGGCTCTATAATTGTTTTGATTCAATAAAGGAACACACACTAGGGAAACTAGCTCCTGGAAAACACTGAAAGAAGTGGCCATCCTTTTAAAAGACAGCTATACTTCTGCTTTGCTATTTCCTAAGAAACAAGAACAAAATCTTACCTGTTGTCTTACAGAAATAAAATTAGGATCCATTTCCTCACTAGGTAACAACTGAATTGAAGTTAAATCCTTGAAAAATGCATTCTTTCCCTAAAGAGAAAGATGGGAAAACAAAGAAAACCACTGATGAGTATGGAATATTAAGGAAGGATAAGGGAAGGATTTAAAAAACTAGAAAGATGGCAGCATTCCATTCATCATCTACTTGGTACACTGTTTGGTGAGTGGGCAGCAGCCTCTAAGTCAGCCCCCCTCATCTGTATTGAAGCCTGTCTGAGTCCTCTTCCCCTGGACTGTGGGCTCTGACGCCAGTAAATACAACTAGACAGATGACAGCAAGTCATGTTCCACACTGGCTTCCAAAGAACTGTGGCTTCTGCTTTGGGTGCTCTTGTTTGCTCCCTCTGGGAGGGTCCAGTGGTCAAGTAAGCCATACTGCAGACACAGCTACATGGAATATAATACTCCCCAATTCAGCTGACACCTCCATGAAGCAACTCTACCAGTCTCACGGGAACCATTATGCCAATGGCAGCTAAGTAAGGAAGCCAGACTTTTTTTTTTTTTTTTTTTTTAAGAGTTGGAAGTTTATTTTTTATTTTATTTTAATCACAGATCATTCACTTGTATCCCAGCCGTAGCCCACTCCCTCTTTCCCTCCCAATCCCACCAGGAAATCAGACTTCTAACCCATAAGGCCTGAAAAATGAGCCAGGTGTGGTGAATCAAGCCTGTAATCTCAAGGGAGGTAGGAGGCTACGTAAGTGACATTGCAAACCACCAAGGTCTGTGACTCTAGCTCAGTGATAGAATATAGCTATCATGTGCAAGGCTAAAACCTAAATTAGTAAGTGTTGGTTGTTTGCATCAACCAAGTCTTTTGGGACACCTGGTTAAGCAGTAGTAGGTAACTAGAACAATTAGCATGTATTCTGAATCCTAAAAAATACTTGTATCACTTATTCAAGACAACATTCATGTTTAGAGTCAAAAGAACAGGGCAGGCTGGGTAGATGGCTCAGTGGGTAAGAGCACTTGCTGAACAAGCATGAGTACTTGAATTTAAATCCTTAACACTAACATAAAAAGCTGGAATGACTTTTGTTTTCCTGCAGCCCACAGGAAGTGTGGAGGTGGGTAGTGGATGATCACATTTCTAGACAGCCAGCCTAGAGAAAACATGGAGCTTCTGGTTCTGAGACTGGCAGTCTCAAGCAGTGAGGACAAGAGCAGTAAGGAGGAAGACACCCATCCTCTTATGGCTTTTATACTCCCCCAACACAAAAACCAATGAGACAACAGGGTATCAGATTTCCTTCAGCAGGAAATCGAATGCAGAGCTGAGAGCACCCAGGCCTGCCACTCAACAACACTTTACCTTGCCCAGCATATAGATAGTCCTGGCTAGCAAAGATCCACAGAGCAGGGCACGGTGGCACACACATCTAACCTCAGCATTTGGGAAGGCAGAGGCAGACAGACCTCTGTGAGTTTGAGGCCAGCCTGGTCTACTGTCCAGGACAGCCAAGGCTCCACAGAGAAACCCTGTCTTAAAACAAACAGAACAAACAAAAAATCCACAAGCCTGTTTACCTCCAGAGTGCTGGGAGTTAAGTCCTATGCCTCCATGCCAAACATAATATTTAAGTATCTTCTACAATTTCAAGTGAAAAATGCACTAATTCAAAATTAGTATTTACTATAAATGTTTCACTGAGAAAATTTGTTATCAGACTCCTATCATTTCTTTCTTTTAGAAGTTAACTGCTGGGGTGGCTGCAATCTATTTTTTCCTTTTTGTCCTCTGCAGGCTAGATGTAGTCTCTACTGCTATGCTGCACCCTCCTCTAAACAATTGTAATCTAAATTTTAAGTGTTGACTAAAAATTTCTCTCAGCTGGTCGGTGGTGCCACACACATTTAATCCCAGCACTCTGGAGGCAGAGGCAGGCAGGTCTCTGAGTTCCAGGCTGTCCTGGTCTACAGAGGGAGTTCCAGGACAGCCAGGGGTACAAAGAGAAATCCTTTCTCAAAAAAATAAAACAAAACAAACCAGACCAACAACCCCACCCCTACCACCAATAACAACCTGGCCCCCCAAATCTCTCTCTGGTTAGAGAGTGAGAGGACCCAGGGCATCAGGTACACTAGGCAAGTGCTCTATCACCAAACTGTATCACCAGTCCCCAAATCTCTCTTAAAATATGTATCAGCCCTGCTTATGTAGACTTTCAAACTTAACATGTCTAAGATCACTCTAAGTAAGCTTTTTAGAAATTACCTGCCCTGTGACAAACTTGAAAACAGATTTGCTGTAACCCCTTTGGACTCCTTTGGCTCTGCAGTTGGTGCTATAAGGTTGACCCTTCCAGAGCCTTTAGAGTTTACCCCTTGTGGTTCACCCCTCCCCAGCTCCTGACTGAACCCTTCTCACACCACCACTCTTTTGCACACTGTGGACATGCACCTTTCCTTGAACATCTTAATTGCAAATGCAATAAACTTTTAGTGAGCTCTTGCTGTGTAATAGGCAAGGTACACAGACATGGGAAGAGCAAAGAGGTGTGGTAAGTTTAGGGGACATAGACAAGGACTTTGAAGAGGGTGCTTAAACGATAATATATATATTCATATTTATATAAAAGTAACAAGACACTGGCCACATGAAATGGATGCCTATGAAAACCAGGAAACACAGTGAAGACAGAGTGATGGGATGTGTGGCTGGGGGATGGCTGGCAGAGCAGGAGAGGCTGTGGGAAGTCCCTCCCGGCTCCACACTTCTATGTGGCAGAACTTCCTTAAAATAGTAAGGTAGATCATGACCCCAAGCACTGTGAATGTAACTGAAGCAGCTGAATAGATGCTATGCCCTGGAATGTCCTAGAGAGGCAGGGTTTCCACAGGGAAACACTCTTTCCCTGCTCCTACAGGGACAGTTACCTGAGGGGAAGCCTGTCTTGAGAAAAGTGATATCACACATGACCTTAGACGAAGGCTGAGAAGTGACACTCACTTTTTCTTGAGCTGAAGCTGCATTCTCCAACTCAGTAAAAGCTAAGCAATAAAGCAGAAGTTTTTCTATCCTGTATCGCAGGGGCACCCATGAACGGAAGGCCTTATTAACTGGCCAAATGATGCAGAGGCTTTCCATGAACCACTAAGAAATTGATTTGCAAGGAACTACAAAATGTAAGGCAGAGAACCAATCTGCTTGGGAAAATGGTTCTTTCAGTGTTGGAGACAGGACAGTTAGGAAGTGGGGAGGAGGCATGAGCTAGGAACACACTAATGGACAGCAGTATCCAGGTGGAATGGTTTTGGTTCTCGAGACAAGATCTCATAGCTCAGGATGGCCTGTAAATGGCTAAGCAGCCCATGCTGGCCTTGAACACACACCAGCTTCTGCCTCCTGTATGCCAGTTTACAGGCACATGCCACCATGCCTGGCTATGGCTTTCAGTAGGAACATGTGAACAGAATGGCCTGAGAAAGGGCTCACCTCCAAGTTTCTGGTACATAAACTATAGCACCAATGCCGATTACTCAGGCCAGGAAACTTAAGAGAAAGCAAATTAAGTCAGGGCAGGATCGAGTGAAGGTTTTCAAATGTGTTTTGGATACAGGTTCCTTAGGACATTCAATAGAAGCATACTCATCAAACTGCACGAGTAAGTCCTGCCTACAGATACACAAGAGGAAGAAAATGGGTTTGTCTAGGGAAAATATGCAGAATGAAAAGGACCAATCGCAGAGGGCAAAAACCCAAAGGACACTAAATGACATCATGAGTAAATTAGAAGACTGGAAATAGGTGGGGGATAAGGGTCCCGGAACCCCTCAGTGGATCACCCCCCCAAAATCACTAAACAACCAAACACGTTACAACTCAGTAAGAAAACCCATGTGCCTGTTAAGCAGCAATGCCAAAACAGCTCTGCAGCCCTCTAGGGGAACTCACCTTGCTATCAAAAAGACCAAGAGGCTTCACACTCTTCAGAGAAAAGCGCATGGATGCGTAGAGGATGGAGCACAAGATGGAATGATGCTCTACCAGTGGGTAGTGAATAGGCTTCTGCTCCAGTGCCAATTCCACTATGGAGACGGGGCCTTCAACGGACAGCCAGGCATCCTCCGTGTCCAGGACTGGTACCTGCATTTCATCCCTACTAATGTCAGCCTGTGCAAGTTGAGAATGAAGTCTGTATCAAGAATTGCAGAATAAGAACTGCAAACTACAACATCCCAAAGTGCAAACTTGTAGTCTATGTTCCCCATAACAACTGAGAAACCACAAAAGTATAAGAGACAGAAACAGAGACAGAGTCAGAGAAAATGAATGCCACTCTTTAGGCTAAAGTCAAAACCTACAAATGAATATAAGTAATCCCATCACAATGTCATTTCTCAAGCTCAATACTTTCAGAATATTTAATTCTTTAGGAGAGACTCAGATGAGATGGTGGGGGGAGAAGTGTGTTGTGTGGGTGTGCTCTCAGTGCACAGCCTAGCTGGCCCTCAGTCCTGTCCTAGCTTCCCAAGAGGTGACTACAGGCATGCACCATCATGCCTGGCTAGCATGCTCCTCTTTACCTCCAATGATGTCTGAAGAAGATCCAGGCAGGAGCCAAGGAAGGACGTCATTGCTGTGTCACTCATCCCCACATCCTGTTTTCAAAGAGGAAATAGAGTCCCTGCATCAGAACTGCTGTGCTGTCAGGACACAGAGATCGTAGCGTGAACATGTGCCTGACTTTCTGCATTGAATACAATCTGAAGTCATTACATATTTAAGTTCCTGCCAATGGGTTGGGTAGTGTCAATTTGATATTAGCATTTAGTGTTATTACTATCAATCTTAAAAGTTAATGTTCTGGGGTGAGGGGTGGCTCAGTGGCTGGAGTAGACTCAGCATGTGTAAGACTCTATTCAGTCTCTAGCACGAAGGGCAGGAGGGAAGACAGTACTGTTAGTGTTTGTGCACTGTAAAGACAGATTTTTCAACTTGCCAGAGCATTTGCTAGCCAAATGAATATGGTTAAGATAAACACGTAAGGTTCAACCAGGAAAGTACTAAGTTAACAGCCTGGGCTGCTGGTTTCATGGCATTTTGAAGGCACTGGATGGAATTCTCTGAGTAAAACTAGAATCTCCCATTTGACAGCCAAATACTAGATTCACATTTTCTGGCAAAAAAAATGGTTCCCACTGTCGCCTTCAACATGCTGGTGTGAGGGGCCACTGCATCTCTGTCTAATCTTTTTAAAGCCACCAAGCAATCAACTCTTCACATTATCGAAGTACATAATTCAGAGTGTGCATGTGTGCTTAAGTCCAGTTACAACCACCTGAAGAACACACTATAATCTTCAATCGTGGTAATTGGTGATAAGGTTGTCAGCTCTATATGGTGTCTCAACACTTGTTGAGACATTTAAGAACAGTTTGAGGGAAAGTGACACTACTCGTCAGCAGCTTCAGTATCCGGGGGTCAGGGCCTCATTGAGGTCAGTGGTTATTCGAGCTGGGTAGACAGGATCCACTCTTCATGGGAGCCTGCCTACAGATGAGGTTAGATATGTTACTGTGAGATTCTGGAGCACAGTATACCCAGGCAGAGATGGCAACATGCCGCTTCCAGTCCAGATTCCAAAGGTAAATGAACTTTAAGAATTACACATGCTAGCTGCCAATCAGGGAAACTGAGAGTGACTACAGATCACAACTATTTCCTTAATGCAGTACTCTTTGTTACCTCCAGATAGATCACCTCAGCAGAAAAATCAAAGTTCGCTCCTACAGTAAAAGAGTATGTAGAGTGTGAGTTTACAAGAAGACTCACTCACCCTTCGGCATAACCTATCCTTTGGAGATTTTCCAACCTGAAATGGACAGAAAATGTAATATTTAGCAATTCAAACCAAAAGGCATTAGAATGGTACATAAATTAAAGGCAGCCAGAATTACAGCTATAAATACACATGCCAGCAATTAACTATTGGCTAGCTACCAACAATGAAAGCAATTTTTTTTTTTTTTTTTTTTTTGGGGGGTAGGACTCAAAAATTATATCACACTGAAAAAAATAAAAAAATCCCTGGGCTGGAGAAATGCCCCAGCAGTTAAGAGCACTTGTTACTTGTTGCTCTTATACAGGACCCATGTCCAATTCCCTGCACCTTCATGGTGGTTCACAATCATCTAGGGTGATTCAGTAGGCATGTACAAATGGTGCACATACATGCATGCAGGCAAAATACTCATTCACATAAAGTAAAGTAAATAAGCACATCTAATCCCTCTTCCCCAAGGAAATTATATATTTTTGAACTAATAAGAAAAAGTTCTCAAAGGCCATGAGAACCCTGAAGGTACATTAGTGGTACACATACCTTGTCAGTAACCAACAACTCTCTAATTAGACTTAAGTCCGACCAAAAAAGAGAAAAAACATTCTGGTACTGGAAACCTCACCAACTAACTGGAGATAGTGAACTCATAACCCAACATATTCCTTAAGTACATTCTAAATGTTTATTCTTACACGTAAGTTAGTTCTCACTCCTCATTAAGGAAACTTCTACAGAAAACTTTCTACAGAAAACTACAACCAATCAAAACCCAGAGTCCAGTCCTAACTTGGTGACCTAAGGCTCAGAGATCATTGTAGAAGAGCAGGCTGTAAGATTCTAAACTCACAGGGAGTTTGCTGTAAGATTGTTTTTCCTAGAAACATCAGAAAAGCTACACCCATGAAGTCTCACCAACACTACTGTCTAAACAGGAGCTGAACGAGGATGGACCCAATAGACATGCTAAGGTGAAAGAGGGAAAGACCATGAGGCCTCCACCATAGACAAAGAAATACAGGCAGCCAGGGAATGCGGAGAGTGGAAGAACAGTCTTCCCAGGTGTTCTAATGCTGGCCCTCAAGGTCTGATTACACCTATTCTTGTTTTGTAAACCTGCCTAAGACATACCTGATTGGTTGATTAATCAGCCCATATCTGGGCAGGGGATAATGGGGTAGCCATGGCTAAGGTTTCTGGGCTTTGGGTTCAAGAGAATCACGGGAGACAGACAGGAAGAGAAGAGAAAGGAGAACGTCACGCTGGGTTGGTATGGATAAAAAGACAATGTGGGCTGAGAGGAAGGACTCCAATAATGGCGTGAAAAGGCCCAGATGAAGAATACAAGCACATGCCATGGGAATATGTATGGAAGGTAGACGAGATAACGATGGTTAAGGAGGATGGTATTGGATGGGGGCCTGGAGACAGATGGCGAGGTTACTGAGACAGTGTAGGTCAAATATCTGCCTGGCCCAAGGCAATTATAAAATCTAACAGGTGTCTGTGTCTTATTATTTGTGATAGCGGGTTAAATAATACCACTGTGATAATCTTAGGTCTAAAAATAAACATTACATAGCCCAGTACACTCATTTTTTTTTTTTTTTTATTTACTAGAACACCCTAGAAGAACACACTGACTGGTTATCCAATACCAAATATCAGCTCTGAAAACATACACATACAATAATAATAGTTTATGGACAGAGCAGGTTGTATTTATATGTTTAGAAGTATGTTATATATGTATAAGAATAAAAGAAAAAGTGGTCATGAATCTGAAAAAGTAAGGTCGGAGTGCATATGGGAAGAGCTAGAAGGAAGAAAGATAAGGTTACTGATGTAATTATAATCTCAAAGACTATATTATATATAACCTCAAATTATATTTAATTATCTGTATATTATATATACATATATTAAAATTTATTTCTGGAAAGTACATTTAACTCAGCAGGAGTAAAATGCAGTAGCAGGAGACAACTAGAACACAGGCTACCAACTGTCCACACACCCCAGGGTAAGCAATCTTTCTAGAAAGTAAGTAAGAGAACTAAATTAAGAAGCCAGTATGTTCATGACAGAGATGGTCCCTGTTAAAAAAAAAAAAAAAAAAAAAAAAGACAAAAAAAGAAACCAGTATGTGAAAATTAAAATCACCTCACCTTGTCCATTAAGTAGGTAGCAGCAGAAAACCTTTTAACCAAGAACGTATTCCACATCATCAGCGCAATACCTGCACAGCAAATGAAATAAAACATCAACAGAATGCTATAGATGCAGTATCATCAGACATTTAACTCTTCCCTAAGCTTATGAAACCATGTGGACTCTACACATTATTTCTTGCATGTAGAACTTTCGTTTTTAATAAAAGCATAAGGGAACAGAAGAATATCACAATCATCATATCAGTATCATAAATAACAAGGAAAAAGTAACACCCCCATGACATCACATAGCCTTCAGAAAGGCTCCAGATGTTTGTTTGCTTGGTTGCTGTGCTGTGGGTAGAGCACAGGGCTTCCACATGTTCAGCAAGGCTCTGCTACTGACCTGTACTCCTGACTCTCTAGCTTTGGTGAGGGTATGAAACAAATGAAGCACACTGACTGGGTCAGTGAATTGGAAAAGCCTATCAGGAAGTATCTGTTAACACTGTACCTACTGGTCCCCCAGCACATCTCAGAAATTCACAGTGAAAGACACATATACACTGTTGGGAACAGCTTAATTCTTATGTAAAATATTAAAATAACAAAATGTTAAAAACATATCAAGGAAGCCAGATCTGGCGGCTCATGCCTGTAATGCCAGCCTTTGGGAGGATAAGGCAAGAGAATTAGAAGTTCAAGGGTGGCCTGGGCAATATGAGACCTTATTTCAGGAAGAAGAAGAAGATGAAAAAAAAAAAAAAAAAAAAAAAGTAAAGTAAAGAAAGAAAATACCTGCTCCCCAGCCCCAAGTACTGAAAATTAAAAATACTTAAATATTCAACTAAGCAAACAACAGCAAAAACCATTTTTTATTAACCCAGCAAAGGAACAGGCAATCAGTAGTAGTAGCTCCATAGTCTCAGAAGGAGAGTTCACAGTTATGCACAGTGAGATGAAGTGGAGGATGTAAACTTGACAACTCCCATCCTACTATGACAGGGGGTCATGAGGGTTTAACATCCGCTACTCACCATTTTGAACATGTGCATTAAGGATGTGCTTCAAGTGTTCTATGGACCTAACCAAAAAGCGTGCTTCCTTAGAAGAGACAGAGAGAAGATAAAGGTTATTTTACATCAACGAAAACCTATTCCTTAAGTTAGGTTTTTATGTATGTGTATGTGCAGAGTAAACACTGTGTGTGAGAGGATGCCTACAGAGGCTGGAAGAGTCTAGCATTACCAGCACTTGTGAGCATCCAGACCAGAATGCTAAGAACTAAACTCAGGTCCTACGAAGAACACCAAGCAACCTTAGCCACGGGGGCCATCTCTCTCCAGCCCCCGCTGGTGACTTCTTACTAAATTTCTACATAAAGCTATTTTAGAACTTGGCAAAGGGGCTGAAAAGATAGTTCAATGGTTACGAGCACGTGTTGTTCTTGCAGAGGATCCACATGGTAGCTGATAGTTATCCACAACCCAAGTTCTAATCCCCAAGGGTACCAGGCATGCAGTAATGCACATACATACAGGCAGGCAAAACACTCACACATGGAGGAGGAGGAAGAGGAAGAGGAAGAAGAAGAAGAAAAAGGAGGAGGAGGAGGAGCAGCAGCAGCATTGGCCACTGGATGTAGTGGCACACACCTTTAATCCCAGCGTTTGGGAGGCAGATTCAGAGATGTATCTCTGTGAGTTTGAGGCCAGCCTGGTCTACATAGTGAGTTCCAGGAAACTTGGAGCTACATAGCGAGACCCTGTCTCAAAACAAGCAAGCAAGCAAAGAGACTGACAGAAGCAGAAGGCGCATGCGCTCCAGACCATGTGGGTTACATACAGTTTCAGGCTAAGCTAAGCTGATTCAAACAAACAAGGGTGGGGAGGAAAAGAAAAACTAAAGAAATGGAATTAGGTAAGAAATAACTTTTGGGAAGATAACTTCAATCATCGCATTATCTAATTAATGATTAATTTCCAGATCATGATGGCCGGGAGATTCAAGCTCCTTGAGGTCTATATACCACACAATTATTCTCTTCAGGCAATATCTGAATTTCACAGGTGTGAAAATTTAAGTTTCCTTTTGCAAACAATCATTATGCAACAAACCTATTTAATGCCCTAGGAATACTACACTGAGCAAAATGGACCCAGATCTTTGTCTGCACTGAGCCTAGAGTCTAGTGAGGGAGCTAGAAAATTGTAGTGTGATTTAAAGTGCCTGGCCCTTTAATAATATATCTTCAGTTGATAGTTAACTGGCCTTCTAAGAATTCTTAGCCATTAGAACTGCTTGACCCTTTGACCTTCAGTGTTGGTTGCCTCTTGGATTTCTGGGAACAGGACAGGATATAAAATAGGCAGCTGAGGCCGAAGGTGGGGGGGACTAGCAGAATGAGAAGAGATGGAGAAGATATTGATAAGAGACAGTTGACCCAGGAGAAGCTGAGCTGAGCAAATAGGCTACAACAGATGTATAAGTTTGAAGCTGCAGTACTGGGAAAACTGGAAGAAGAGAGTGTTTAAGCAGACTATTGGGGACCTGAGAGAGGAAAGGTTGAGAGAAGCATTTGAAGGGTGCTGGGCTGAAAACTGGAAAAAGGGATGACAGGGAGTTAAGAAAACTGGTTACTGTTGTAAAATAAGCAAGCCATTTTACAGTTGGTTGTGTGGTTTGTTAGTAGCCATGGTCAAAGAAAAAAGGAAAGAAATTAGATTCAGGGATCTCTATCTCTCTTCTCTCTTCTTGTTTCTTTCATATTTAGTGTTGGGGGTAAAACCAGGGAGAAAAAGGTGGGGAAAAAAAAAGAATCTACAAAGTATCAAAGACCAGCTATAGACAATAAATATGAAAGCAAGCAAATCCGAGTGTCAGAAATAAATGGAATAAATAAAAGGAAAGAATTAGAGCAAGGGAACAGGAAATATAAGAAGAAAGGCTTACAAGCTCTATGTGGGATCACAAAGGGGGACATACCCAAATTCAAATAGTAGTGTGTAATAATCACAAAGTCATCCAGATGTTTGCTAAAACCTTCTGAAGCCCTGCCATCCCTGCTGTCCCCACACACATTGATCCTGGAAATTCTCTGAAG